ATAATAATGCAAATACACCAAGTGCTAGTAATCATATTAATAAGTACACAAAGTGTTCTACCCGCATCAACAAGCACGAGGTCATTTATGACAATAAATGACGATAAATCACAATCCAAGAAACCAATCAGTTACATAGAAAGCATTTATACCAAGACATCCAGACAGATCTCAATTGGTGATATTACCACATCCAGCAAGAGTAAAAATTTCATCACAAAAGTGAAGAAAGAGATCTTAGAGATAAAAGATAATACAGAACGGAATAGGAGCAGAAATATCAAAACAGACAGCAAGGATATGAAGAAAGAAGACAAACAGATAAAGAAAGTGATAAATCCAGAAACAACAGTGAAGCAATATATAAACAAAGTCACTAAAGATGTAACTATTGAGACTAGTACTAAGGAAAAATTGTTTCAGTTCCGTAATTATAATCCAACAATTGATTCAAGTCCAATTGTACACATTGAAAATTTCTCGAAGCACATAATCAGTTTATTCACTAGGACCACGATACGCCCAGAGCCTGTATTGGTTAAAGTTGTGCATCGTATCAAAAGACCGAGAACGATCAAACTTAGCACTACACCAATATTTGGGAGCAGCTTTACACCTCGGCCATTCATTGCGTACAAACATAAACCTAATGCTAGCAGCCGCATCAGGCGTATATCTACTAAGTCATTCTTTACTGCAGCAAGCAATACTACAAGGTTGCCGACTCTCAGGACTGCCGCACCCACACCTCTGCCTATCATTGGTTATAAACGGAAACCTAATGCTAGCAGCCGCATCAGGCGTGTAACTACTAAGTCAATTTTTACTGCACCAAGCAATATTAAAAGGTTGCCGACTCTCAGGACTGCCACACCCAGATGTTTTGAGAAAACCATACGACCTGCGCCCCGAGTCAGAAATGATGTAACTTCCAGTACTGATATTATATGGGTTGGTAACACTCAACCAGCTAGGTAACATTTTTATGAACTAACTTCTGTACAAAATGTTTGTAATATATTTAACTTGAATTCGTTAGTCTAATTATCTCAAGTGTGACTGCTGTGCAAGTCGTGTATATATTTCGAGTGAGATGTTTACAGTTTATCAGAAATTAAAAGTGACAGAGTCAAGTCCAACATTGTGTAGAGTTTTTATTTATAGTCATCGTTTGTAGTTATCGTTTGACACAATGCATGCCATGAATATAAAATTATTGAAAATATTTTTTTACATTGTCAAGTCAAATAAGGTAAAAAATATTTAAGAATCGAGATTGATACAAATGCCATTAACAATTTAACATTTTACTGGATCAAATACCTACTAAAAATCTAAAATAGTGTTTAGATTTATTTTGTCACGCCAAGTTAATTTTATTTAGATCTTCAGTTTCAAATGTTCCGTTTTAGAATTTCTGTGTATCTGACTGCAAAGGACACATATATAAACAAAACATGTTTTACGTAAAATTATCGAATATCAAATACAAATTTATCTTGATTAATATTACAAAGAGCAATCCATGAAATGAGTTGCATACTGAATCACAACAATGTAACAGTCTGGGTTGCGTAAGCTGACGCCACATATAGGACTCGGGTCGGCCATGGTCTGATGGTCATCATCAGCAGTGCCATAATATTAAATAATGTGGTACATAAGCGTTTGTTACATGATCATTTTGAACAAGTTATACTTACCTTCAGTTTTGTCTAACCTTCGCTATCGCCCACTAGTACCCGTGATAAACCTACAAAAATCATATGTAAGACGCATAGCACCTCTTCCGACTGCAGAGTTCAGCTTTGAACAGAGGGGAAATCCAATATGTGGACCAGTGCCATTTCCAGAATTTGATTGCGGGGAAACATCAACATGTGCATACAACTCACCACATGGAGTTGCAGGTTTGCATAAGAGTAGAGATACAGCGTGTAATGTTAAAGAAGTACCTATTTTACGAGCACAGCCAATGCCGCCAACGACACAAAATACAATTAAGAAAATTAACATAAACTATAAGTCTGATCCACCTTTTAACCTAAACCAAGATATTATCAATGAAAATTTTCTACCTATAAAAGCAGAAGAAACAACGTCTCAGGAACAAATTGCTTACTCCATTCCGAAAATGTTATTCAAAATTAAACCAACTTTATCGAATATAAGAAGCCCGTTTCATATCGATGCTTTTACACAATTCACTAACCGCTACAAGCTACCTCAAAGAGTATCGATAAAAAATAGTCTGTTACACAAAGCTGGATTACACCCAAGTATGACGGAATTTAATTTTGATGAAAGATTTGAGAGCACAACACTCGGGTACGTTTTACATCCTATCGATATCACTCAAAGAAATAATATTCTCCGTGATAAAAGGACGATGCTTCCAACATACCCTAGCAGAGCTGTGACGCCTCGAGCCGGTCCTTATTACGATGAGCAGCTGATTCACATGCGGGCTCAAACGAAACGATTTCCATATTCACAATATCTGAGTCAATCGCCTCTTAGTGTTTCTAAACATGAGTATTTTCAAAGTAATTCATTTCGTACGACGCCACATTACAGCTATCGTCCTCATATTACAAGTCATCCAAACCTATCTCCTCCTAGTAAAAATAGTAGTACTTATAATAGGAATCCTATCCATAACACGTATCCAAGCCCACCTCCTAAATACCAGTCTTATCACCATAATGTAAGACCTAACATCATTCACTTCAATAAACCACCACTTTACGACATTCCTCGTAACAACTTTAACTTTCATAAGCTTTCTTCTTCAAGTAAGGTTCAGCAAGATGTCCGGCGTCCTATTGTTGATGCAATGCAATACTTTCGTCTCAAGAACCAGCTGCTTTCAAATATTCGGTACCAGAATATTTCATCACATCTATATTTTAGAGGTAGTAGTAACTTTTATAATTTTACAGTTACTTATCCTGTTAGTAAAATGAAGCCCAGTACAAATCAAGTATTTCAAAATACCAAGTCTCAAAAAGCATCCCATTCAACGTATAGACTTAAATCTTATCAAAATTCAAAAACAAAGAAACAATCTTTTCGAAATATTCCAAAACGCTACCCTAAAGTAGGTACATTACATGCACCATATTCTGAAACTCTGAATTTACTAGACGGGAAACCTTTCTATGAAATGGCTTACACATCAAATTTCGATTCGTACTATGACGTGCCTACTACTAAATCAACTCCATTAAAACATTACAGTCGTGTGACGAAGGTGTATAAGGCGCAATTCCGTGCTAGATTGTCTCAAGAAGTAGACTACTGGTTAACTGGAAGTTCAAGCAGCACTTTTCCCCCTACTATAATTAACAATTCTAAATCACCGAAATTAACCAAGTCGACATATAAATTGCCTGTAGTTTTCATCCGATGCGAAAAACTTGCTAATTGTAATATGTTGGATTGGCACAATGATACAACAATCATAGCGCCTAAATAAATATCCACTAGATCTATTTCGACCATGGTGGCCAGTCTAATTAAACTAGCCCAGGAGATACAAGTGCGTGCATAAAAGGAGGAGGCGGACTGTGTGTGGCAACGAATCTCCTCAGGCACCAGAAGCGTCATGGATGGCCACCATAAGTACGGGCTTGCGGACGACAGGCAATGGTAGCTCACCGCTTTCTTAATCTGGCACGGTATGGTACAGCATGCGGTAGTTCCCACGACTAGAAAGAAGTCAATTACATGACCAACTGCTTTCTGAGGCCTAAAGTAGTGCCGATAACCAAGTAGCAAGAGTAGCATTTGCTATAGATCCACCTCGAAAAGATCACCCGGCAGCTAAACTTATCTTCAAATGACGATGCATACGGTATACGAATATTTAATAGAATAGTCTTCATCTCTTGGATATCCTTAAGGTTAACCTTAAGGTTAAACCTTCAGCTCACTAGTCCTTTGGGCTATGTAGTTAGCTTTGGTTTTCAGTCGGATCAATTTGATTCGGATTCGATCCTTCAGAGAGACTCCGAGCATAGTCCTCTCCACAACTCGCGGCGCGACCTTAAATTGAAGGGTCACTCGCACTTTGCATCTTAAATGTTTGTATGACAGCCATGATGAGTTCATTTTTTTTTGCGATTCAAATACACAACATATTTGCAGTTCTATAGTATATTGTGATTTAGCTATAGATTATACCTACGGCTTACCATGAGTTCTTTTTAAATCGGTTTTGTAAGGAAAACGTAGAAGTGTTAGATAATGTATTATTTTAGTTTGTAAGATGTAGATTGTGATAATTTTTAAAGTATTCAGTTAATATTTTCAGATAATGTAATTTTGTTGTAAGGCAAATTGAACAAATGTATTTCGTATAGGTTATTAAAGCAAACTGCGGATAACTATTAAGACTTTATTGTAAACCCAGACTAAATTAAACAAATACATGAAATGTAAGTTTGTGTGTGTCTACTATAATAACCTAATCAGTAAGCTGCTATAACAGTGTCAGACCGTCTAATGGTCAAGATGTTTATTCAAAGCATTACATCTGTTTAAAAATCTCTGTACGTCCCTAATGAGTGCAAGACGCTCTGTTTAGTGATAGTGTACACAGCATGGCGGCGTCCGTCTACACAAGCCCTTATACAGATACGATCAAGTTTTTGCAAGGAATTTGCAACGAGTATTGTACAAATTCATTTACTATCATTAACTGTATCTATATATACTTTAACCCTTAGAGCGCCACGTCAGTCACCGGTGCCTGACGCTAGTGGAGGTTTGACTTTCACCATTTTAAACTTGGCAGTTAAAGTATTACACAAAGCTGAAGAGTTTGTTTGCTTGAACAGGCTAATCTTCGGAACTACTGATTTACCTATCGATTTAAATATTCTTAGTAGTAGAATTTTGATAATATTGTTATTTTCAAATAAGCTAGTTAAATTGCCTGAACAACGTAATTGAAATATTGATCTCGTATATCATATGTTAAATAAAATTCGAATAGAATGAAAGAACTAAGTTGCGTAGAATCGGTTCACTGTAGAAAGTTCATAATCTCGTTACATTGTTATAGGTGGAATAGTAATTTAATTTTGCACCAAAACCAAACATCGCTGTGTGTGATTAAAAATATACCCAATAATTACAGAGACGTTATGCGGAATATTATCCTCGTGCACTTCGCTGTTCTTCTCGATTTGCTTTACTCTGTGACTTCAGGCTACCTCCACCACAGGCCAGTGGTGCCGATGCAGGATCTTCATAAACTACACCGGACGTCCACATTGAGACCAAGATCATCCGGGGCTTATCGTGAGTCACATCTCGTCAAATGGCGAGAAAAGTCTTCGAACAGCATCGAAATGGTGGTAAATCCTGTTACAGTGAAAGAAGACTTCATGATGCTACCGTATCAAGAGATGCCCAAACAAAAGTATTCATTGAGTCCCCAGTTCATAGATTGGTTAAGTTTCTATGACTGGAGTCAGTTTCATGCAATACCAATAGGGAATTCTCCGAATCTTACTCCTTCTGTTCCTGATCCTGATGGTAAATCGAACGACAACAACAACAACAACAATAACAACAACAATAACAACAACAATAACAACAACAATAACAACAACAATGAAAACTCAGAAACCACGTTATCAACTCTGTTATATCCTGGGCAGAACGATCCGACCCTACCTACTATTACTACGCAAAATGCAACTTCGCCGACTCCAGTACCAGAAGTTCTGTGCGTTGGTCTGGCTAACTGTCAACAACAGATTTGGAAGAAAAGGGCTGGTAGAAAGGGTGTGACGCGAGAAGTTACAAGTCACCATTTACTGAAATGAGTTAAAACTAATTAGACAGTCTGCGACACGGGGCCGTACATGTTCACAAGTGATATCGTCCTGGAATGAACTGCATACAAGATACCCGTTTGTTTTTGAGTACTAACGAATCGAAATATTTTAAATACTGATTTATACTTACTAATAATTTGTAGTGTATGTTTGTGTTAAAACATTTTTTTTTTGTAATATTGGTTAATAAAATTGTTTTATTTGTTAGCGGTTTGAATGTGATGTTTACAATATTAACAAAAAGACTGAACTGACGCATACTTTATAAGTTACACATACTCTTGCATTTTTTGCAAAAAAAATATATACAAAATGATGTATGGAATTAATCGAAAACTCTCGTAGCTCGTTTGCCGGCCTATCATAAAAATATCTGATCTAAATAAGTACAAAAAAGCCGTTTCATAGAATCCTATAAATACCAAGCAAAAACAATGATGGGTACTTAAACTTAAACTCAAAGTCTATGTATATGTGTATGTCGCTTTCTCATTGATATATCGTCATCCTGTGAATTTAAAAATATAGTTTACCTATTAACGCTATTTTATATCCTGTCTTTTTACCTCAAAGTCCTAGGGAAAAGTGTACATATATATAAAGGCCTAAGCTCGTTAGGATTTAGGTAATCGAAAGACCTGAAACATTTTGCCGTACCCAGGTATTGAAACCGAAATTCATAGCTCGGCAATAAATTACCACAACTCAACGGATGATAAACTTCAGACATTTTGTGTGATACACTGTGGGATGTTATACATTTTACTTGTCGCGGAGAACCTAACGGATTACCGGGGCGCCGGCTCGACGTGCAGGAGAAGGAACGGGGTGGTTTTTAGTCATTAAGAGTCTGATACTTCCTCCCGCCTTACCCATGCGGGAGAAGTCATTCGATGATTTTCCCCTGTTATAAAAAATACATTTTATTTTCTGTTTGAGAATCAGCATACAACGTGATATTTCTGAAAATCGGTTAACAATTGCAATTAATTTCAATCCGTATCACAACATAATCGATTTAATCAATACCTCTACCTCCATCGATGAGCTTCGTTTGTGTCGTGGTCTCTTATATGAGGCATGAGTGATAAGTGATGTGGTACATTATACTGTATTACTTGATATTTGTGCAACATATTGTGATAACACTAGCCTCTCGTTATCGCCCAGTCGTAGGAATGACAAATTATCGGCAGGAGTCACTAGATGCTGTTTATCCCGTTCAACCTGTTCAGTCCAACTTTAATCCGAATAATGAGAACCACCACATGCTACGACAGTCAAATAACATGCATCAGCCTATTCAACCGCTGATCAAGATGTCTTACCAAATACGTAAGCAACCGCAATTTAAAATGCCTGAGCAATTACCATTACGATATTCTGTCCAAAAATCGCCCATACTACCGCCTGTACTAGCATCTATTAATATACCTAATAGACCACCAAGTAAAACATCAATGTTGATGGAATTTTATGCTCCAAATCAAATGACAGTTCAGCAATTGGATTATAAGTACCTGCAGCAGGAGACGTGGCCTACAGTGACTACTACTAGCCCGACTACTACCAAGACTGTTTCTGTTAAACGTGCTGTTAAAAGAATAAGGAAATCTAAGCTCCGAAATAATACTACACCTAAAAAGAAACCATCGACATTACGTATATTGAAAATGTCATCGAGCACCAGACCCCCGTACCCTGGAGGAATCAGACCCGAGACTAAGGAAGTTGAAGGAGATTATATTTTGTGCGACGGTAATGCTATTTGCCATAAATACGTCTGGACAACAAAGAAGGCAAAGACTCCTAAGAAGACAAGAAGATGAGATAGTCTTTTTGATAAAATCTTTCAGTAATATAATATGTAAGATACTTTAATCGGCCGGACTCGTTAATTAACATTGTGATTTTAAACGGTTTTAGAGATAGAAATGTTTTGTTGTTATAAGTTTGTGGGAAGATGCCTAAGCATCATTATAGTAGAAGTTATTATGAAATGTCTTCCTTGAAACTATGATCTTTGTATTCCAAGAGTGATAAACGAAAGTAATGTACTTTGTAATAAATCGAACACTAATATTGGCATTTTCATACAAACATTCCACTGTAGAACGAATACGATTTTTTAAAAAAGGTCACATGAGTTTTAATTTTAGATAATAAAACGTATCTCTTGATTGTTTGATCTTGATTAGTGACTTTATATTTAGCCTTCAAAAATATTTATTCAGATTAGCATAACTGATAATTGACTATCTACAATTATTTCAAATAAACAGTCATGCTAAATTGAGCTACATACACCTACAGAATACTACACAATTTAATAGGACATTGTTAAATTTTCCTCGTTCTATACAAATATCTATCTTATTACAATATTCCCCTGAGGCATCGTCTCATTAGGAATGCAGCGATTTTATAAGACCATTGGTTTCTTATGATTTCAATTAATAACACACTTGTCATAAAGTTCAGACCAAATCAAAACAATTTAATTGAAATATTTTATCGGTCCTCTAAATGCACGCTAGTTTTACGTTTACTTTTTGATAACTATGGTGATATATTTTTAATATAACGTTATGAATATTATTGTTTTGTATCTTGTAATTATTAACACGCTGCATTCTGTAAATATGTCGCTAATTGACTTTGATGTGAATTGGATGTCGCCGGAAGGCAACCAGCCATCCACTGTGTCTGGACAATTATCTCAACCTGGCGCGACTAAATTGTCTACTGTACGAGCAAAGCCTACATGTGGTCCAGTGTCGTTTCCAGATTACAGCTGTGAAAGACCTACTACACCTTCGGCAATATTAAAAACATCTGATGTCCCAAAGATGTCAAAGCCACAACAAGACTTACATAGACAACTACCGCCCCTAATTCTAAGGTCATCTTATGAGTTAGACAAAACACCATGGCAGCCAAAAGTGGGCCGTGAGATTATAAGGACATTTAAGAAAGATGTGACAACTTGGAAGTCCATGTTATTTCCACGATCACATTATGGTACGTTTGGGGGATCTTTATTTGACTTTATATTAGGTAAGGACGATTATGCAATTTATGGAGAAGCTGAAACTCGAAGACCTCGACCTTCCGAAAAACAATTGAGTCAGTTGAGTCAGCCGCCGCCACAATCTCCACATTTTCGATCAGAGCCATTGAATCAACCAAACCTGGCAGCCCATCCACCGATACTACAAAACATTCCAGTTAATAATAATATTATGTTTCGAAACAATAACGCAATGTTGACTGGTAAGACAGACCGATACTCGGTAAATGGTGTACCTCAATATGTGATGAGTGGCAGGATGACGTCACAATATTATATGCAACCTCAAATGAACTTGAAATTCAGAGTATCAGCTCAACCCTACCCATATCGTAATGTACCGATATCAACGTCAGGAGGTCTCAAGTACAAATATAATCCAGCGACATTTTATCGACCACCTGTGAAAATTATTAATAAACCCTATCAAGGTTTTCATATTCCTAATATGGCATTACCAAATGCTTATACAAATCAAAATAAAGGTAGATCAACAGTAAGATATTTATCAAGTAGAATGAATTTCGTTACTATAGCACCAGCGAGCTCTCAAGGCGATACAACTCAAACAATGGGATCAGTAGGACAGCTGCTTCAAAGAGTGGATATACAAAACAAGTCAGTGGGGGTTTGGTCCAAATTCAAAACTCCAACTAAAATTTTCGAAAATGTACCTTCAAAAGTGTTAATATTTGATGGCATAAACGTTCATCATACGCTCAGTAGTTCAAATCCAGAAGGAAACATGAGAGGTCATAATTTTAAAATTCATAATACATCACCAACATTGGCATCTGATGGTTTAATTAAAAATGAAACAACTGCCAGTTTTCTTAAGCAAGGTGATTTACTTCGAATATTAAATTTTAATAAGGATTTAAAAGAAAAATCTGTCGTAACTACGTCTCATGATAAAGTAGTAACGAATTCGCCACCAAATAAATTTCTATCTATCGAATCGCAGACACAATCAAATATTGTTAATAATGTGTTTAAAGAAGGAATAAGGGTAAATATGAATCACGGTGTTAGCATAGACAATACAGTAACAGAAATTGCAAATGCTAATATAGGTATTCCAAGAGACGCTCCTGGCGGTATATCATCGTCACTAGTGACCTTCGGAGATCAATTTGGTAGCAGTATAGCACAACTTTCAAATGTCAATAAACAGTTTCCAGATGAGCCAAACACGACTTGGTCATCACAGGACACAACGCAGCATTATGACTCAAACGTGTATAGTGCGACGATGACACCGGTCGGTAATTATACAGTTTCGAATGTTTCAAATATTATGTCTTCAAGTGCACCAGTGCAAAGTGAAACTTCACAAAGAACAACATTTGATTATAATAATAAGGGACAGTGGACTCATATAGAATCTAGAAGTAGTGGAGTTACATCTTCTGTAGATAAATTACTACAGAGTATGATGCTTGGTATGGCACCGGGACAATCATTTGATACCAAAACTCAGGATGGACTGCAAAGAAACATTTACCCTCAAGAAACCATGCAATATGGAGTTACATCTAGTAATGTGGTATTACCACAAAGTGAGATATCTCCAGGTATTACAGCTGCTGGAAATGTGAAACCTCAAAATGTGATGTCGCTTGATAATAAGCAGAGTGTGGTAGTCGACTTAAAATACACAACAAAGCCTCAAGATATACAAATTACCAGGCAGTAAAGTTACAACAATGGGCCTAGGGAAAGATAATATAAATAACGTGTATTATTTACTTTCACACTAGTATAATTAACTACTTCATCTATCTCACTTCGTTGCTAATGTCAGTGGAGTTCTTTAGAGTTAAGATTGTATACTTAAGAATATTGCTAATAAGGCATTATTGTTTTTATAGTAAAAGTGTTTATTAATGGAAGTAATTTTATTTCTACTTAATTAACT